TCTCTCTCTCTCTCCCTCTCTCCATGCTTCTCTTGCCAGCAGATGCTCTAGGACACCAAGGAGTTTGAATCTGGCTCAAAACGAAAGCAAAGTGACAGTTACCCGGGCCACAAGGCAGCGAGGAAGAGATTCTGATGGTACGAGTTGAAGAGTTTACTTAGGACGATATTTTTACTTAGGGGAAATATATGATCATCCTAAACCCCGAAACCCCTAAATCCCAAAACCCCTAACCTTCTCACTTTAGAGAACTTGCATGATAGCAAAGCCTGACGCTACCAATGTGCTTGCTCCACTTCAAGATGGTGGCCATCCCCTCCATGGTGTACCATCCACGCTTCTTGTGGGCGGAGGTCTGGTTTCGTTTCTCCGAAGTCTTTGTTACCCGAGACAGGAAGCTGTCCTGGCATCACGAGATAGGGTAGGCATGCCGTGAATCGGACATTGCAGGAGATTGTTACATGTGCTATATTGAAGTATCGAAAGCCAGCAAGTTCCTTGTCCCAGTCTGCAGCTTCGAGCTCCGCTAGCAAAGTCTTGCGAACCTCACCTCCCTGAGCCCATCTGTCGTGCACTTCCTTTGGCACGTTGATGCGCCCTGAAGGCTTCTGCTCGCAGAGGCGTCGCAGGCGGTTCTCCTTGGCGGCCTGGCGAGAAGGATTTGATCTATTGGGATTTTGGAAGGAAAAGATTATGATGCTTCGGACAGTCACTTGCCTCCGTTTGGGGTGTGGTCTTCGGGTCGGCAGACTTCGGCTTCCGGGGCTTGGCAGAGCTCGCCGTGGATGGTGTTCGCAGCTTCAAAGCTTCCACTTCCTCGGCATTGTTTACACAGTCTAATTATCTACCCACTCAGACTGTCAAGTTGATTGATTGCAGAGTTATTGAAAAATACAAGGGTCAGCATAAAGCTTCCGGATAAGCTCGTCCTTCGCATCCGGCGATTGCTTGCCCTTGACACGATGCAGGGCTGGCGACTCGGCATCTGGAGCCATGACTGGCTGGGCAAGCTGGCTTCTGGCGGAGGAAGGCTTTTGCTTGGGGTCCTCGTTCGCGTTCCGGGGCTGGGTCTTTTTCTTCGGGGTGGCCACGACTTCTAAGACTGGTTTTTTTTGCCCGGTGGCGGGATTGGGGACACCAGCAGAAGCTCGGGCTGGGGTGTTGATAGGTCGTCGGGCTGGCACAGGCTGCTGTGTCTCTGCGGGCTTGTTGGCTTTACCTTTAGCAGCTGTGCGCCTTAGCTTCGAGGGCTGGGCTGGCGGGGGGGACTCTACTGGAGAGGGTTCTTCTTCCTCCTCCTCATCTTCCATCCCCTCCTCTCCTTCGGATTCATCATGATCCTCATCATGTGTTTCCTGCACAGGCTTCCTTCTGGGCTTCTGCGGCGGCGTCGAAGCCTAGGATTCCTATGGTTGTAACATCGTAACATCACTTGGGCTTTGTTCGGATCGCTGCATGAACTGTCGATCTAGAGTCGTAGAGTCGAACTGAGCACTCAAATGAATATGTGAGCCAAGTTGCTTGACTCCGCTTGCTTCTTAGGATGCGAAGTTGCTCCTCTATATCCTCCATGCAGTGCAGGTGTACGGCTACAAACTTCGGAGCATCTACATGTACAGCCCCTTAATACTTAGAGGAATATGTAACCCTACAAAGGTACACCAAGTATATATCCCTGTAAGCATCTATATAGTTGTGAAAAGAACTACACCAAGAGTGTGTACTATCAATGTGTGCATATATATGTGTATATATATATATGTATTATATATATATATACATATTATAAACAAACATAAGAATATACTAAATAAACAATGAAGACACAGGTATATATATGTATATATATATATAGGTAGGTTCGTGCATATAGGACACTGACAGGGCACACAGTACTCATATAACTATGGCTATATATTCAATACAGTTATCAGGATACCCACCCATATCGGGGTTTCGGGCTAGAGATCAGAGTTACACACTACACACAACCCCCACCCCTGGCCTTGATATTAGCCTCTAGGTCATCGTCATTCAAAGTCTCTTGCTTCGTCGCAACCAATTCCCTGGAGCCATCACCTAGCTCAGAGCAACTGAACTGCCGCGACTGCAGCAGCATCCTTCTCGACATCCTGCCGAGACCTAGGAACCAAGACACAGCTCTCGTGAGCCGAAAGAAAAGCGCCTGGACAGGAGACTTTGCATCTATGCGGTGCAAAGGTGATGAGCAGGCAGTGGGGGTGCTCCATATGCAATTCTGATTCACTGGCAAGCAACCCTTCAAAGTTGGTTTGTGTGGGGCCATAGGGATCCGACTCATACCTGAGGGTGGTTCATAACTACGTAAGGCACCCCAAAGTCATACATACATGGTTCAAAACCTACATATCAGGACCTACGGGTTTTTACGCATTTTTTACGTATTTCCATACGGGTTTTTTCGGCCTTTTTACGGAAAAACACGCCCCTTATACGGGTACGGGTTCGGTGGTTTTGAGCATACGTATTTTTTACGTAAAAACGCGTATGTTTTTACGTAACTCGGGTTGTTGTCTAGCATTCAACCAGAAAACGACATAAATGTACGTAGTTGATCAAGAACAGCAGAAAAGCAGGTCTTTCCAAAGTCCAGCAATTAAAGCCCCAAACACAAGAACACAAGCTAAGGGTTCCAGGGCCCTCTGTTTGCCTTCTAGAAAGACTAGAAGCACAAGCCCCCGGAACCACGCGTCGAGGACAAGGGCTTTTATCCTGTGCAGTGATATCCGAGCCTCCTGGCTGTGCCTCACAGCACAGCATCCAAGCAAGCATCACAATGCCTCCCTAGGCTGCCTGGAGATCTCTGAATCAAGGCCCCATGTGTGTATACTAGAACCATGCAAGCTTTGGCTTAGATTGGTTGGCTAAGGAGTGTTTTCCAGGGCTCTGGCAACTTTAGTGAAGTATTGCCTCTCAAGTAGCGCAGCACAGACAGCATCTCAGCATCATCCCAGAAATCGGCCCAATGCTTCTCATTGAAGAGCACATCGACTGGCTCCCACCTGCGACCCTTATGAGCCTCAGGCTTGCCACAGGCGGTGTGGCACAGGCGGTGGTACATCCGAGTGATCTGCAGCCCAAACTTGACAGGGTATTGCCTCGGCGGGTTACCAGAGATTTCTAGAGGAAAGCTTGGATGTTCGAGCACATAGAGCCACCTAGTGTTCTGAAATAAGATATTTTGCTATTTGATGCGATGGCCTTCACTACCTACATACATGAATATTCCAAACATCACTTATCCTAGGAGCAGGGACAGTGAATCGACCGACATTAAACCTCGGATGTTGGAATGATCCTTTGTGGCTAAGACAAGTAGATGATGTCTTTCGCGTGCCAAAACACCTTATGCTAAATACCATGAATACAAACCTATCTACCTATTTCCTGTTTATCTGGTCTATCTGTATGTATGTATATATGTGTGTATGTATGTATGTATGTATGTATGTATGTATGTATGTATGTATGTACGTATGTATGTAACTATGTGTGCATGTATGTAGGTATGCATGTATGCATGTATGCATGTATGCATGTATGAGTATGTGTCACATTACATACACACATATATATATGTATATATATATATATATTCGTTTATTTCTTTATTTATACACATACATATTACACTAATCGAGAAATCCTTTTGTGTCGGGGACGTTGTAGCTAATTGTATGAACAACAAGCCGCCTTAAACCTAAGAGGGCTCTGGACTGCACTAGGCTTGTACACAAACTATATCAAACCACATAGGAAATGGATCAACTAGGACTCGTGCTGCGTCGATGCAAGGGCCCTTGTACCTGTGAATTTCTTCCGGCCCCGCTTGTCGATGTACTTTTTGGATGTGGCTGGTTGCTTAAGACCCCGTCTCTTCAGTGACCTGGTAAATGTGCTGCGGCAGAACTTACCTCTCGACAAGCGCCCGATGTAGGAGCTGTTGCTGTAGCCCACATGCATCTTGGGAGTCAGGGATCCATAGTGGCCCATCCACCACGCAGTCGCAAAGACCTAGGTTGTGCATGGATTATCTACAAGCAGGCTAAACGGCCAAAGGTGCTGTGTCCGACAAGAGATAAACAGCCAAAGGTGCTGTGTCCCGACAAGAGATTTGATCGATTGCATAGACAGAAAACGTCCGAACTATGAAGTTTTACTGAAGCCGGCAGACCCTGCCACAGCTTCTAAACAACCATTTGATCCTCGGGTGCCACTTGAGCATCGAGCTTGATGGCTGTTCGATCACCCAGCAGCCTCCTAGAGCTGTGACGGTCAATGCCAGCAAGGCGATCCTTGCGGGATGAAGCAGCACACACAACATATATGCACCCGCGTTTGTTGACATAACATGCACACTCGCACACCCAAAGATATGTGTCACACAGCAGAACATATCTAATCTTAAAAACACAGACTGAGTTACATCACACTCCACTGCCCTCCATCGATAGCTCCCACTTCAGCTCCTCATCACTTCCCTGATTGATCCAAGCACGGGCTTCTCTAGAAACACAATACCACAAAAACACCGTCCGAGGTCTATGCATGTTTACAGAAGCATGGCCAGTGAAGCACTCGCTGCTAGACATCCAATACTACTGCTGCTACTACTACTACTACTCCTCCTCCTGCTGCTGCTGCTGCTGCAACTGCAAGAACAACTACGACGACGACAACGATTATTGCTAATAGCACCATGACGACGACTACTACTACTACTACGACGACGACGACTACTAGAGAACCGGCACCACTCCTCTCCTTCCCTACCACTACCACTACTACTACTACCACCATTACCACCCCACTACTACTACTACTACTACTACTACTACTACTACTACGACTACTACTCCTACCACTACCACTACCACTACTACTACTTACTACTACTACTACTACTACTACTACTCCTGCTGCTACTACTACTACTACGACTACAACTACCACTACTACAAGTACTACTGCTACTACTGCTCTTACTGCTACTACTACTATTACTACTGCTGCTGCTACTGCTACTTCTACTACTACTACTACTACTACTACTACTGCTACCACTACTACTGCTGCTACCATTACTATTACTACTGCTACTACGACCACGAATACTATTGCTCCTGCTATACCACTACCACTACCAATACCATTGTTGCTACTACTACTACTGCTGCTACTACTACTACTACTACTACGACTACTACGACTACTACGACTGCGTGGAAGACTACTAGAGAACCAGCACCACTCCTCCTCCTTCTCCTCTCACTACTACTACTACTACTACTACTACTACAACTACTACTACTACTACTACTACGACTACTACTACTGCTACTGCTACTACTACTACTCCTGC